ACCGTTTTTATCACACAAAGATGACATATTTTGTCAAATGTCTTTTTCTGTGCCAATTGAAATGGTGACATGTTCTGTTAGTAGGATGTATTGCATTGATTGATCTTCCTATTTTAAACCACCTGTGCACTCCTGCAATTAGCCACAGCATATAATTACTTTAATAGGACGCTCAACTGGGTTTGCTAGTGTTTCCTTGAGGATTTTTACATCTTGGCTCATAAAGGAGGAGTGTGTATTTCTCTTTGCTTGTGCTCTGGCTTTGATATCAGAGTTAATTTTGACCCTGATACAATTATAGGAATGGCACTGAATATTCTGTAGGTTGCTTTGGATTAGGATTGAAAGGGTCCCTCCTCTTCTGTTTTTGGAAGAGTGTGAGGATTGATATTAATCCTCTATAGATGTGGGTAGAATTCACCCACAAGGCCACCTCGTCCTGGACTTTTCTTTGCTGAGTGACCTTTATTGTTGATTCAGTTTCTTTGTTTTTTGCTCTGTTGAGATTTTCTATTTGTACTTGAAGTAATCTGTGTGTTTGTGTGAATTTGTCCATTCTACCTAGTTTATCTAATTTGTTGCCATACACCAGTGCATAGTATTCTCTTATAATTCCTTTTGTTAGTTTGAAGTCATTAAGTTTTTTTTTTCTTTCTGATTTTGAGAATTCGGGTCTTTTTAGTCAAGCTGAAGGTCTTTCTGTCCTGTTGATTGTTTTGGAGAATCTAGTTGGCGTTTTGCCGTTTCCCTCCACTGTTCCTTAATTGCTGATCTTCATGATTTCTGTCCTTCTGCTAGCTTCAGGCTTGGTTTTCTTTTTCTACCCTTATGCACTTTAACATTAGCTTTTTAATTTCTACAAAGTAGTCAGATGGGATTTGATAGTGACTGTGTAGAATCTGAATCAATCTGGGAAATTTCTCATCTTAAACATGAAATCTGGCATCCTTGAATTTGCAGTATCTCCCATTTATCTAGACTTACAAATTTCTTCCAGCAATGTTTATATCAGAAATCAGATTTTGTACTTTTGTGTTAAATATTTACAGAAGTTTTTGTTTGGTTTTGGTCTTGGGGATTGAACCCAGAGCCACTTAACCACTGAGCCACATCCTCAGCCCTTTTCATGTTTTTTTTTATTTAGAGACGGGGACTCACTAAGTTGCTTAGGGCCTGGCTAAGTTGCTGAGGCTGGCTTTGAACTTGTGTTCCTCCTTCCTCAGCCTCCAGAGCCTCTGGGAAGCAGCTTCATTAGCAGGGCTTCAGGTGGGTTCTGGCATGTGGAGTGGCATTGGTCACCTGCACAGGTAAACGCAAGCCAGTACAGCGCAGCTGTGGCCACCACCTTTCCTGGCCTCACGGGGGCGGGGGCTGCAGCACCCCAGGAGTCCTAAGAGAAGTCCACTGAGCAGGTGTCATCTGGGGGACAACAGCATGGGCGGGGACGAGGATGGCAGAGAAACAGAGGGTCGGTGTGTTTCCAGTGCCAGCGGGGCCACCTCGTAAGTCTCCACAGTCCAGGTGAAGGCCTGGTGGTAAGTTCAGCCAGTGGGGGCGGGGGGAATGGGGGGATGAGGAGGGATGGGGGGATGGGGGGGATCGCCCCACTGCCCCTTCAGCCTCAGCTCCCCAGCTGCTGTGTGTTGGGGGTGTGCACTTGAGGGCCGTGTAGACAGTCCACACGGCCAGTGAGGCTGCGGCACACACCCACTCACAGTGGGCACCACGCCGTTAGCCTTGGTTTAGAGGCTCACTCCCACGCTAGCAGCACACTCTTTAGGATGGGTCGGCCATAGTGCGGGTATTTATTTTCTCTTTTGAACTCGGGGAGACAGTTGTGTGTTAATAAGTAACAACTATAATTGCTGTTTTCTCTTAATAACAAAAATGGTGTGGATAGCTAGGAATTAGGGAACTAAGACACTTTCCACGTTTTGTATGTTACCTTGTTTTCAAAAAAAGAGAAATTATTAGCCCCTAAGTATTTATTATGTGTTGTGTAGACTTATAAAATGTCCTACAGCACAAATCCTCATTATACTTTTTGGTATTGCCGTTATTTACAGTGCCTAATTATCTTGTTTGTGTTACTGTGATTCTTTTGACAGATAATATAGAAGTTTCCACACATATATCAGGAAATTCAATCTTATATAGAAAAAATGAGACGGTTATCAACATGTTGCATAATCAATTTAATTCATTTCAGTTAAATTCTTATCTTTCATACTCTTCTTTTACGTAGCCACATGCATATTATAGCTTCGAGGCTAAACATTAGGCAGAGGCAGGATATGTGTGTGCAGCCATAATGAGCTTGCTTTTTAATACAAAGGAAGATTAGAATCGTATTAAATTGCATGTTAATGGAAAAATAAAGCAAAACATAATAGGAAGACAATTGGGGCTGCTGTTAAGTCTGGATCACAGAACACAGTTTTGCTATTTATTGGTTGAATGTTGAGTTTCCTTTGGATCTTGCCCTTAATTATGTTAAGTATAATACATCCTAAGTATTCCTCGTAATGTGAAGAAGTGCTGTGGTTAGGCTGACTGCTGAGGCCAGAGGGCGCCTCAGCCACATTACAGGCAGCCTTTGGAGTCACAGGTGAGGCCCCCCCAGCCCGGGGAACTCACTGTGACAGGTGCAGGCTCCAAGAGTGGACACGAGCGGCAGCTGACACGCGCGCAGGGCCCTCGGCATTCCTGCAGAAGTGCTGGGTGCTTCTCTGCTGGGTCGTCCTGTGCCTGGGACACAATCCTCTTCCTTGTCACACATTACGGCTCTGAGCTGGCTGGACACGTGCAGTCCTGGGACTTGAGGCAGGGACATGTTTAGGCCAGGTCTGGGACTAGTCACCCAGCACAGGTTTCTCTCAGGTGAGGATGCTTCCCTGCAAAGGCTGCCCGGAGCATCAGGGAGAACCCGTGTCCATGTGTGTGGGGCTGGCACGGCATCAGCTGTAGTGTGACTGACAGCGGGATTATCCCAGGCTGGGATGGAGCCCTTGCAGAGGAGCAGGTGAGGGGATGTGAGTTAGGTGATCGAGCCCAGGTCTGAAGGAGGACCCCTGGAGTTCTGTCTCTCATGTGACAAAGACCCTTTCTCGTCCCTGCCTGGGCCTCAGCCTCAAGGGCAGCATGCAGCAAGGTTGTCTTCAGCCTTCTTTGAGAACTAACAGAGAGAGCTTCCAGCCTGGGGACAGAGGAGAAAGAACTCACAGAGTGACTTTGAGGAGTGGCAAGCAGCTCCATGCCTGGGGCACAGCCTTGCAGGGGTCTGGGTGGGAGCAGAAGAGGCCAGGCAGCCATTGAGCACCCTTGGTTGTGGCCCACGGGCTGGGCCGTGCGGAGCTGGCTTTCCAGAGCCCCTGAGCTGGGATGGGGGGCAGGACCCCCTGGAAAGCTGGGCTGCTAGAGCAGAGTGCTGGTTGGAGTCTGAGGACAGACGGGGAAGCGTGTCCAGCAAGAGCCATCAGGAGGCAGGCACAGTGGTCCTGGGACAAGGCCCCTAATGAGGGAGGTGGGCAGGTAGGTGAGAACCGGGTGGGGTAGGAGGAGGACTGAGAGGCCAGGGAAGCAGCCAGAGAACCTGGCTCTGCTGGGGAGCCTGGGCACAAGGGGCACACCTCTGCCCTCAGGAGGGTGGCACAGAGTCCTGGAGAGAGACAAGGCACTGGGTCAGGGGTACCACCTTGCCTCCACTCTCCCCAAGGACAGACCCCATTCTTATGGGTGATGGGTTGGGGTCATCAGACCCTGCCCAGGCTCCATCCCAGGCTTCATCCCCCGGGCCACATGCTAGCACCTGCCCCTGGGCCTTCTTTCCACTGTTCTCCCCCAGCAATGAGCTTGGAGCCTGCACTTCCTGTATTTCCACTGGCTGCCAGAGGGAGGCAAGGTCCACCCTGGGACTGAGAAGAGACAGTGGACAGCAGGGCAGAGGGAGTCAGCCTTCTCCAGGAGTCCAGAATCCAGGCCCATTAGGGTCACAGACCCTGAACTTTTCCAACGGGTCCAGTGGGTGACATTAACAAAGATTACCATCATATGCAATGGCAGATGGGCACTGTGGCCATGCCCAGGACGCAGCTCCCCATCCGGGGGCTCAGTCCTACCCTGCAACTGGAGAGCAGTCCATCACAGAGGCCCCTCTGGCTCTGGCCCTTCACCCTTGGAAGTGGGCTGGATGGCCAGAGCTGTCCAGGGACTGTCCAGGAGGCTCCCACACTGGATTGGTGGTGCCCCAGGATCAAACCACTCTTTACTTCACGGAGGGTTATTCTCAGTTCAGAACACATCTGGAATAGAAAAACCCCTGGTGAGCCCGTTTGGATCCCTCCCTCCACAGGCAGTCAACCACCCGGGAGGACCCAGGACGCTTGTCCAACGGGAGGACAGGTGGGGGCTGCTCTCCAGGACAGGCCTGAAGGGGTGCAGCAACATCCCCCACCAGTCTCCCACGAGAGCCGGATGTCCAGGTGGAGGCAAGCTGGTCCCCAGCCAGGCCGTCTCTCTCCACAACCCAGTCCCCACACAGCAGAGGGGTTGAGAGAGCCCCTGCACTGCTACCTGCCCAGTGGGCACGTGGCACTGAGCCCACAACCTCACAATATACACCAGTGTGTGACACATTCACTTACTAATTACACCAGGTGTTATTTTCCAAGCTGAACGAAAACCCCCCAATGCAAAATGTAAATACAGCTTCTCCCCAAATTGTTATTATTTATTAACTCAAAACCTGTGGTTTGAGAGACCAGTGAACCTGCTAGCCCTTAGACATGTCACTGCAGACCACCACTCGGGAACATCAAGGTCCCTTTCGGTATCCCTCACTTTGCAGTGGTCAGTGGGAACTGGTGCTGGTCCACTGGAACGCTGGAGCTCGGAGGACACTGACTGTTGGGAAGAGTGGCATGTGCTCGGAGCGGGGGCTTCTACAGGGGACTTGTGGGGTTCCCTTCGAGCATTAAATGACGTCTCTCTTGTGCCCACAGACCAGCAGTACTCATGGTCCCCGACGCAGCACTTCAATGAAGAACGGTACTCCCCGGCTCCCAGGAACATGAAAGGGTTGTCTGGAAGCCGGAACCCGCCGCCGCTATGTGCAGGCCACACCTGTGGCGTGGCGCCCCCTGCCGACTGCGAGCACCCGCTGGACCACCTCCGCCACGGGCAGGACACGCGGCAGCCCTACCTGCTCAGCCCGGCGGAGAGCTGCCCCATGGACCACCACCGCTGCTCCCCGCGGAGCTCCGTGCACTCCGAGTGCATGATGATGCCCGTGGTGCTGGGCGACCACGTGTCCAGCAGCACCTTTCCCAGGATGCACTACAGCTCCCACTACGACACCAGGGACGACTGCGCCATGCCCCACATGGGCGCCAAGATCAACCGCATCCCCGCCAACCTCCTGGACCAGTTCGAGAAGCAGCTGCCCCTGCACAGGGACGGGTTCCACACGCTGCAGTACCAGAGGGCCTCGACGGCCGCGGAGCAGCGCAGCGAGAGCCCGGGCCGGATCCGGCACCTGGTGCACTCGGTGCAGAAGCTCTTCACCAAGTCGCACTCCCTGGAGGGCTCTTCCAAGAACAAAGCGGACGGCACCAAGGGCGACGGCCGGGCCGACGAGCACCACCACGGCCACCACGCCCGGCACGGCAAGCGGAGCCGCAGCAGGGAGCGGAAGCCCGAGGCCAAGCACAAGTCGGGCTCCAGCAGCTGGTGGAGCTCGGACGACAACCTGGACAGCGACAGCACGCACCGGGCGCCGAGCGTGGTGAGCAGGCACCACCTGGACCCCTTCCCCCACTGCTACCCCGAGGCCCTGCAGAGCCCCTTCGGGGACCTCTCGCTGAAGACGTCCAAGAGCAACAACGACGTCAAGTGCTCGGCCTGCGAGGGCTTGGCCCTGACGCCGGACGCCAAGTACATGAAGCGGAGCTCCTGGTCCACGCTCACCGTGAGCCAGGCCAAGGAGGCCTACCGCAAGAGCTCCCTGAACCTGGACAAGCCGCTGGTGCACCAGGACATCAAGCCGCCCCCGCGGCAGTGCCACTACCTCCAGGTAAGGGCCCCGCCAGCGCCTGGCCCAGGGCGGCGCTGGTGGCTCTCAGTGGGCAGAGTCCATGAAGGTGCGGTTAGACTGTCGGGACCCACACGCTGTGGGCTGAGCCAGGAGCTTGGGTCCTACTCTTGGCCTGTTTTTATTTTGACACCTTATCTGTGCTATGTGGGAGGCCGTGGGCAGCTCCATGCGGGTCCACAACAGGTAATGATCAGATGGGGGGCGAGCTCCTCCGTGTCTCAACATCCACCATTTCTGTGGGAACCCGCCAGCTCCTCTTTTCTACCTGTGTAGAGTGTAGATTATGGTAATGACAGTCACCTGCTGAGCACACACTGCAGCTGTGCTCCATGAGGGCACTCTTGAACTCCTGTCCACCTGGAGTCTTGGGTCCCATGCCCAGCCCCACTGCTGGTAACCAACCTTCATGGCTCTCGGCGCCGGCATGGTGAGACCAGGAAGTCTTGTCCTGGGCCTCGCCCGTTTCACTTAGCGGGTGACCTCCTGGTTCACCGTTGCTGCAGGCGGCAGGATGGGCCTCTCTGCTGAGGCTGAGACTCTTCCCTGTGTCGATAGGACCACGCCTTCTCTGCCCACCCAGCCCTGGACTCTGCTCCTCGCCATCCTGGCTGCTGTTACGGTGCTGCCGGGATGGCGTCAGTTTCGACAGGTGGCAGAGAGGTGACCTCAGGCCATTCTGGGGGTCTCTGAGGCCCCCGGCTGCTCCCTGGAGCCACTCAACACCGTCGCCATCCCCTTGGGACCCCCAGGGCTGGAGGCCTAGGACACAGCGGCAAAAGCACACCTGCCTTCACAGGAGCTGTGGGTTCGGGAGCCGCCCCTGGCAGAAGCCTGACCTCCACGCCCACCTCCTGCTCCTGGGAGTGGCATCCCTGAGCCACAAGGCAGGAGGTCCGACTGTGGGAAGGAATCTGTCTCTGTGATGCTGATGAGATGAATTCACAAAGGCAAAGCAAACTGCAGACAGCGGCTGGCGAGAGCTGCACACTGCAGACCTCTGTGCGTCAGTGACGCCTCCCTCTCCTAACCCTGCTGTCACCAAGAAAGCCAGATCCGCCCTGGAGGTGCCTGCTCCACTGAGGATGCAGGGCTCAGAGGCTGCGGGCTTGGCATCAAGCTGATACATGTCACCACAGATCCCCTCTATTGCCTGAGAGCAGGTGCAGCGGCCAAATGCTGCTTCAGGGAAATGCTCCTAGCACGGAGTCACGCTGCTCACTGCAGTGAAGTCACCAGGCAGCCACCTAATGGGACAGAAAGACAGCCCTGCCTCTGTCCAGGAGTGCCGAGTTGGCAAGCCCTCCCCATGCCAGGCTCAGGGGCTCTGTTCTGAGAGGGGAGGTACCCAGTTGTTTGCATGGCAGATTTATGCAAAGAGACAGATTGGTTGTTGCATAAAACATTATTTATAGCAGTGGGAGAGACTTATGCTTTGATTGTACTTGGCCAGCCTCGATAGTATCCAAGGGTAGAGACTCATCTACTTATCTAAAGGACCGTGGTGACTAGAATGGGGTCCAGAAGCAAAGCTCTTGTTTTATTCTTTTTCCACTTGAACCTGAGACACCTGTAGATTGGTGCTCCTTGGACACTAAAGGTCGGTGGCACAACAGTGACGTTGCACTGGGTCCACGTCCCTGCCACACCTGCTCGGCAGCGTCCTGTGCCCTCAAGTCTACCTGCGGCTGCCCCCATGGCCCACACTGTCCTCCACCCTCCAGCAGCCCTTGTGATCCTGTGGCTGAGGAAAGTGCCACACACACATCCAGGGCACAGGTAGCATAAGGTCCCAGGCCCTATGGCCACCATCAGTTGAAGCAGACCCCACATCTCACACAACTGCCGCAGCAGACGTTCCCATGTTTGTCCCTGAAAGGTCCACGCTGAACGACAAGGTCAGATTGTGAATCGCAGCCATGACACAGGAGCAGACACTGAAAGCAGTAGTTCTGCAGGGCTCCCAGCATTAGGTCACGTTCGCCTTCCCCAGGCTCCAGCCTCTCCTTCCCAGTTTGTTTGAGCGGGATGCGATGAGGGGCCTCTTGAACCTCTCGGTCCACAGATTTCTCCTCTCTTTCTCTCTTCCCAACCCTGGAGGGCTTTTGGTTTTTAAACTTCATAGGCAGCATGGCCCCTAGGCCCTGCTGCTTGGGCTCTGTTCATGGTGTCCAAGGTCCAGTTTCGTAGGTTGGTGGAAACCTGCCCAGAGCCTGCAGTCCCTGCATTTCTGCACTGGCCTGGCTGGGCCGCCTGCCTGTGGGCCTCCTGCTCCCTCTGCCAGGCTCCCTCCCTCTCTCACAGGGGTCAGTCATATTTTTCAGCTGTCTTCTAGGAGCTTCAAGGGGAGGAACAGTGTCGATCTTCCCCCCACCTTCTGGGTCTCTCCACTGCCCCCTGCAGCTGGACGGCACCTGAGAGCAGCTGGCTGTGAGCCCCTGTGGTGGAGGGCACGCAGGTGGAGCCGTGGTCTTAGACAAATGCGTTTTCCAGGCTTCAAACATCATGTCTTTTATAGAACAGGAAACTGCTCTGGCCCTGGGAAGAGACCACGCGGGGGAGCCCGCACGCCTCTGTGGCAGACCCCTGGTGTCAAGTGGCCCTGCACAGGACAGGGAGGACGGCCCCCGCCCCCTCCTCTCCTGAAGACTCTGGTGCCTCCGTAGCAGGCCTAGCCTGGCGCCAGCCTCCCTCCCACCCCCGGTTGGGATGACACGGGCCACAGCCAGGGGGACATTGCAGCAGCAAGGAGGGTGGGGGCACCCCAGGAGGCCACGCGGCTTCCAGGACCGCTCTGCCGCCTCCCTCGGCAGCAAACTTCTCCCCTCTCCGCCTCTCAAGGAAAACAGGCACATTCTGGAGGCAGCCCAGTGACTGTCCCTTCTCATTGTCCTCTGGAGGTCACGCAGGCTCGCTGGGCAACACTGATTAGGACGCAGCACAGATCACGCTCCGTCTCCTCGGGCTATGTTTGTCCGAGCACTCGGCTGAATCGATTGTCAAGGACGCCCGTCCGGGGTTGGTCCCTGCTGATTGCAGGCAACTTCCTGGTGGAAGATAGAGGCTTCTGGGCTCACGCAGAACACCAGGGAGCTGGAGGAACTGGCCTGCGGGGGCTCCTGTGGGAGTGGGGCCAGAGGGAGGAGAAGGGAGAAGTGGGCGTTAGTGCGCGGGTATGGTGAGCACCGCTAGGGCCTCGTGGAAAGCTGAGGCTCGGGCTGGCAGACGCCCTGCGTGCCTCCTGCCTTGGTGTGTAGCACTCACAGCTGCACTCCAGGAAGAGTCCTGACCTCAGTGGGTCCAAACAGGTGAGCAGAGGGCCACGGGCAAGGGTAGCCCTGCCTGCCCCTTCACAGTGCTCCTGAGCCTGCGTCTTCCGCTTCAGTGGAGAGAGGTCCATGGCCGGGGAGACGTGTTCCCTGGCCCACCTGTCCTCTCTTCTCCCCAGTTGGCCTCCACGTCCGCTGCAGTGTGGCCCCCTGACCACCCCCCACTGTGGTCTGTGCCTGCCCTTGCTGGCCACTGCCAGGAGTGGGACAGTGGACCCAAGAGGCTGCACTCCTGGGCCTCCGAGGGGCCTCCAGGCTGGTCTCCAGTGCACCTGGTCCAGGTCCCACATGGGTGCAGGCACGGGTGCAGAGCCGCTCTGCCGCCTCCGGCGTCTGCGGTTGGACTGTTTTGACAGCAGCGACGTCTCTCGGTGGTTTTGATTGGCATTTCCGTGATGACTGACGGTGCTGGGCACTTTGTCAGGCCCTTGTCTGTCTTACTGAGGGACGCCTTCCCTCCACGGGATCACTTTTCTCAGTTCCTCACTTGTTCTGCCGTTCACCCCTCATCAGACGGTGAGCCGGAAAGATTCCCTCCTATTCCTTAGTCTGTCTCCTAGTCAGCAGAAGCGTCTCGGCTTCTATTTGTCTGTTATTGCTTTGGTTACCTGTGCTATTGGGGTCTTTTAAAAGAAGAAAAACCATTGCCTGTACCCATTTTGGAAGTGCCTTCCCTGTTTAGTCGTCCTGGCGTTCCGGGTCTTACATTCAGGCTTTGGTTCACTCGGAGCTGATTTCTGTGCAGGGGAGAGACAAGGTCTTTCCGTCCTCCTGCTCTGGAGGCCAGTCTTCCCACAGGGTCTGCCTTTGGCACGTTTGCCAGAGATCCTGGGTTATGCTCAGGCCCTGGTTCTGTCCACTGGTCTGTAGGCGTTTGTGGCTGCCGCCTGCAGTCTTGGTTACCCCAGTCCTGCAGTAGGTGTGCCTGGAGGTCGGGGGCCTGGGTTTTTGATCTCAAGGACTTTGACTGTTGGGGGGTCTGGTGATTCCCCCATTTCCTGGAAGAATGCTACGGTTGTTGATGGCAATTACGTTTAGTCAGTAGGTTGCTCTGGGTAGGATGCTCATGACCAGTTTCCTGCCCTCAACACGGGAGTGCGGTCCACTTCTGTGTCCTCTACAACTTCTTCCTCCGGGTCTTATCATCTTCCTGGTGGAGGCCCGTGTTCCTGAGCACTGTGACTTCCCTCTCAGCGAGCTCCTCCTGGTGAAGACCATGTTGGTGGGTTTGCATGCAACCTTGCTGAGCTCACTTACCAGCCCCCACCACTTCTTGGTGGTCAGGTCTCCCTCTGCTGAGGACCCGGTCAGCTGCAAGCAGTGATCGTCTGGCCCCCTTCCCTGGCTGAATGCCTTTATCTCCCCCTCCCCCAGTGGTTCTTCTGTAGCTGTGGGGTGGCTGCGGCCAGGCTGTGTCCTCCCTGTTGGCGTGTAGTTCTCTCTGTGGCTATGCCCCGTCTGGTGCTGGCCTCAGGGTCATGCTGGCCTCATTAAATGCCTTGGTTCAGTTGTTTGGAAGGGTCTGGGCGTTCCTTCTTTAAAAGTTTGGTGGAATTTAGGAGTGAAGGTCTCTGCTGGGACACATCACGACTGGTTCAACCGTATCACCTGTCGCTGGACTAATTCAGGTTTTCTCTCCTGAATTTTATCTTG